TTTTCCTTCCGAGTTTCCTATTCTAAGGTTTCAGGAGGAGGCGGCTGGCAGGGCTTTGGGTTTGGTGGTTAGATGGGAAGGGAAGGATGCCTGGGTTTGGGCTGATTGCAGAAAACTCACATAACATCAAAATAATAGAATAGAATTAGGAGACAATGACCCAACTTAGGCCTGGAGATTATAGAATTAAAAAAAAAAAAAAAAAAAGAGAGATATTCTATACAAACTATCCTTTTCACAAATGGTTATTGAGGCCCTCACTTTGTATGTGGCAAACACCGCATTAGGCCTTGGGGAATTCGGTGATGAAGAGAGCAGTCACTGTCTCCCAGGGCTCACAGGCTGGAAGAGGAGGAAGCCTCCTCATAAACAGCTAGTCTCCCCTGGGAGAAGTGCTATGACAATGGCCACTTACCAGCAGTGGGACCTGGGACAAGCACTGGACTTCTTTGTGCCTTACTTTCATCATCTGTAAATGGGCATCATAACAGTGCCCCTCTCTTTGGGATGTTGCAAGGATTAAGTAAATTAATGTATGAAAGTGCTCAGAACATTGTAAGGCACACAGCTAGTGCTATGGAAGAGCTTGCTCTTGGTGGTGGTGGTGACTAATGCAGGAAAGCTTCCCTAACCCTGTGCTTCCCTAAACCAGAAAGCCCTCCCAGAGGAGGTTATGCGAAGTGAGGGCAAGAGGAGCTGCTCAAATGGCTGAGAGAGGAGGGAATGGGGGAGCGAGAGGAGAGAAGAGAGTAAGGGGAAGAGATGGAGCAGAGGAAGAAGCACGTGGCGACACAGAGGTGTGGAGGGCACAGCAGTGTGAGAACAGAAATCAGTTTAATTCAAACATGGAAGCAATTTGGAAGGTGAGGCTAAGAGTTAAGGATAGACCTTATGGAATAGATCATAAACGGTCTGTTGTGTCATGCTAAGAAATTTGGATATTTATGAATCAATTTATAGGAAAATTTTTCCAGAAAGTTGTGAAGTGTTTACTCTGCTATATCAACGACGTTCTGTTCTGGTGTCCATCCTTTTCTGCCATTCAGGAACCCAACAGGGAAGATCCCGATGAGCTCAAACCACTCATGTAATTCTTTCCCCTTCCCAGTAATTGGCTGAGAGATAGATGGGCATTGTCCCACTTTTGGGCAAAGATATGAGAGGACCCAGAAGACTTCTGCAAAAGTTTTCCTTTCTCTGAAAAAGAAACATACAGGCTGACATGCCTCTTCTCCTCTGAATGTTGTGTTGGTATGTGACACTGGGATTGCACGTCCTCTAGCATATCCAACACAACTGGCATAGAGTATAGTTAGATTAGTTTACTTTTCATTAAAAATTGAAGACTTATGACAACTTCCTATGAGATAAGTAGGGTAGTTGTTATCCCTTTGGTAGATTAGGAAGCAGAAAGAGATGAATTAGCATATATATTAGGCCCAGAGAATGAACAGAAGTAAACTCAGGTCTGATGATTGCTAGATAGTCTACAGTACCAGGATGCTTCTCTTTCATCAGACCAGATACAGGCCATAAAGCTTCCTAAAAATTGGCATTCATGTCCAGACAACAAAGCAAGGCACGAAGGTCAACTAAATTGTGGGAGTAAATTAAAATGCCTTTTAGTATTTTTGCTCACATTGTATAAGCTGAGACTGAACTAAAAAAATACATGAAAAGATGGATTCTAGTGCTTTTCAAGCTGAGATACACACATGTCTGAGTCAGATTGCTACCCTACCTAGGAGCAATAACCAATAGCACAGCTTCCCAACCAGCGTGCCCCAAAGGGGTTCAGGGACCTTGGGGATGCAGATATTATCTCGAGCTCTGAGGAGACTCTTCACTTTACTTCAGTGTCATAGTGAGTTCAGCTGCTATAACAAAGTGCCACAGACTGAATGTCATATAAACAACAGGAATTTATTTCTCATAGTTCTGAAGACTGGAAGTTTGAGATCAGGGTACAGGCAAGGTCAGGTTCTAGTGAAGGCCCTCTTCCAGATTGCAGACACCTATATCTGTACTCTCAAATGGCAGGAAGAGGGCAGGGAGTTCTCTGAGGTCCCTTTATGAAGACATGAATCTCATTCATGAGGGCTCCACCCTCATGACCTAATTATTTTCCAAAGGCCCTACTTACTATACCACTACACTGGGGGTTAAAATTTTAATATATGAATTGGGGGGGGGCAGTTCATTGCACCCAGTGTGCCATACCAATGTTGGTACTATTTACATGTGCTGGGACATGAAATAAGTTTGGGAAGCACATGCCTATCTTTCCATGTCTTCCCTTATCATGCACTGCTGTCTCTTACAAACCCTCCATTTCTGCAAATGGATCCATTCACTATTTCTTAAACTGTTTTGTTTGTTCACATTTTTGGCTTAAAGACTTTCCCTATTGCCTTAAATCCTGGGTCTCCTCTAGCATAATTTCAAAAATTTTATTACACCCAAAGTGACCTACTTCAGTAAACCACTGTAGTATATAACAAATATTATGTACTTAAACCACTTGGCCTATCACATTGACATCTTATTTTTTTCATCTGTGTGTCTTCTCTCTCCAGCTAGACCACAAACAATCTCTCTGAAGGCCATAACAAAGATCCTTTCTCATAGCAAAAAATTCATTCTTAATGTTTATTGACCATTGACACATCTTACTGTGTTCTTATTTTCTAACTAGAGGCCCGTTGCAGGAAGATTCCTGCAAGAATAGGGCTTCCTGTGGTCGGAGTGAAGCTCCCGCCTCCACCGCCCCGCTTGCTTTCCTCCCGTCTCTGCCGCCCCGCTTGCTTCCCTCCTGTCCTAGTTGTCTTCTTCACTCTGCGCCTGTGTATGCAAATTAACCGCCATCTCTGTTGGGTTAATTTGCACACTCATCTGATTGGCTGGTGGGTGTAGCAGAGTGACGCCAATTTGCATGTTTCTCTTTTATTAGTGTAGATCTGTTCTATCTTCTCGTTCCTGTGATAGTTGCATATGATATAGAAGGTCAGACTATTTGATTGTTTTTTTTCCAAATACAGTGTAGTGTATAACTACTTGATGTATAAACATGGTGCTAGATGCATGGAGATTCACAGAAGAGAAAAAAAGAAGAAAAGAGAGAAACACATTGATAAAACAGGATAATGATGAGTTCTAGGGGTCTTCTAGCCTAAAAACTTGGAGACAAAAGGGGCACTAATAGTAAAGTATTCTTCTCCATGGAGGAGGTATCCACATAGAGGAAGGAGACACTGGCCATTGTTTCTCCCTTGGAACATTTACTGCATGTAGTCAAATTTTAGTGACTATATTAGGATTTGGGGAAGAGCAGGGTACTTTTATTATCTAATCACCAATAAAGCCTGAAGTATTTGCAAGTTAAGTCATAGAACAGACAACTTTGCATAATTCAACTCAGCTGAGTAGTTCCTACAGAGGCAAGGAGACCCAAGAGCCAGAGTCTAGCATTTCTTTGATAACACATGTGTGTCTGTGTGTGTGTGTGTGTGGTGTCAGGTTGGGACTTGGCTCCTGGGTGTTACTGAGCTGGGGAAAGAATCTGTTGAGGAACAGAATCTATTGACTTGTCTGGAGAACAGAGCTGGCCAAGCTCATGGTCCCTCTGTGGTCAGCCCTACTCGCCACAAACTCCCATCCAGCCCAGCTACCCCAGTGAACCCTCCCACAAACTCTGTCTGAAGCACATCCTGGCAAGCTCCTGCAGTGTGACTCTTTGGTCTCTCCTTCAGAACCAAACAAAAGGGCCTGTTTTGAGGCTTCTCAAGCTGCCAGCCTCCTAAGGGAGCATTTCTACATAGGAATATATTTTGGGGTGCTAATAAGCTCCCTCTAAATATTGGGGACACAGCCTTTGAATGTAATAGTTGGATTGCTGATGTCAACTATTATAGTATAATTTGTGGAAAGCTGAAACCGGGGGAGGGGGGCCCTAGGTGAAAGGAGATAACTCATATCAATCATTTATCTTGATGTCAGAGTGATTCAGAGAACTTTTCACTATATACCTGTGAGGCCAATGCCATCCTACCTGTTTTCCTTGGGGCTCCACTGGAGTCCATGATAACCCAGGTTTGAGGATGAACTCTGGTATAGGAACGCTTGGATGGAGAAAAGAGAACACTGGTTCAGAATCTGAGTGTGCTTGGGAAAATTTATTTAGGATGGCTTTTCCATGGGTTCTTTACTCTCATGACAATCAGGAGCCATGTTCCAGTGACTATCTATCTGATTGTGTGGCAGTGCTCAGCTCCCTAATTTTCCCATGAAACCAAAAACCTCCTGTTTTGTCTGCAATAATTGCCCACAGTAAGTGTCCACCTCCCCCCCCCACACACACACACACTGTACTTTCCATTTCAGCCAGTGATATTTTGGGCCCTGCATGCTCTGAGAAAAATAGAGAACTATCTCACCAAGCTAAGGAAGTAAGCTCCAGGCCTCATTTTTGAAAATGTTCAGCTTGATAACTCAGTCCCTGAGATCACTAGTTTCCCTTCTCCCAGCCCTCAGTTACAGTGTATGAACAAGGGATCATTTGAATTCTCATGAGGGAAAATTAATTGAATGGGCTTTGCAGGACTAAAGGATTTAATTTGGCTCTTAAAAATCTTCCTACCAGGCTGTTTCTCTCTAATGTTGTGGCTGTTAAGTCTGTTCAACTTAGAACTAGCTAAAAAATATTTCATGTGTTTATGTCTCATGAATGTGTATATTTTTGTTTGGATCTATGTCATTTTAATTTGTTTCAGCCTCTCACCATTACTAAAAAATTAGTTCAAAGAGTATAAAATACGGTAAACACTGCTCACTCCCCTGCTTCACCCTCCGTGCTATTAACAGGAAATGCATTTCTGACACTTTTAAAATGAGCAATCACACGTATAATCAACTCGGTTAAAACTTCCTTCCTGGTAACTCAACACTTCCTCTGCATCTGGATACGGAGGGAGACCCAGAAAAGCGGAAGAGTTAGAGGCACCCTGGGTAGGTTCGAATTTATTGTTTTCAAAAACTAAACAAATGATCCTTCAGCAGCATCACCTCCACGGCTTTATCAGGTATTTGTTGCCCTTCCTATTTTTTGCCTTTTGTTGCGTCTGACTCTGAATAGTGACACTTCCTTCTCAGCTAGAATATTTTTATCTGGAACGGCTGTCGGTTCTTGAGTCGATACTACCCCTGAATGTCTCTGTTTCATTGTCTAGTGCAACCTCTAAGAGTGGATATCCACGAGGTTCCAGCCATAGTTTTGCAGGTGCATCAGTTTTTTGTTAGTTTGTTTTCATTTGGGAGGAAGAAGGACAGAGGAGTCTGTCCCTGCCAGGCTTCACAGTCTTACCAGTGCATGCCTGGCCATTATTGTACCCATCAGTGTTTCTAACGTCTTCTCTAAAAGGCGAATGCTTCATAACCTCGACCATGAAGGAGAGCAGTGAGTATTTAGTCTGCCTGTTTTTTTCTGCATTTTGTATCTTGTAAGACTGTTCGGGATCACCGAGACCAAAGTTATTACTGTGTATTTGTCCACTGCCTAAATTCAGACCTATTTTATTTAAAGTGTCAGTATTAATATATCTTACAGTTCTCTTCTTTGTTAGTTATTCTATAATGTAGCCACACTATAGACCAAATAATGATTGTTTTAAGCTGCAAGAGACAGTGAATTGGGACAGTTGGTTTCATGTATTTACTAAGTAGAACTTCATAATATTTTGAGAGGGAATATTGGCTTTAAAAGTAGCTTTAAGCTAAGATTTGAACAGAAGTTTGGCTCTAATGAAATTTGTCTTCCTTATCTTTTAATCAAACTCTTCTTTTTGGTGTTTGTCAAATGCTCCACTATTTCTTGAATAAATTAGTTATGAATCTCCTTAACATTAGTAATTTAAGAGAGTAAATGATTTTTCTGAAACATTAATTTTTGTGTCACTAGCTGTTTCTTATTTAAAATATAATATCTAATAACAGTGATACTAAATATTAAAATAAAAATACCTGATTTATAGTTCAACTTAATATTTTAGCATTTCAATCATTATTTGAAGTGTGTCTTGCTGCAGTATGTCAAATTTATACTTAAATGCTTTGTGCAGGGGAGGTACTCATTAAATATACAGTGTCCCTCAAAAACGTATACACACACTTTGAATAATTATGAAGGCAGTGCTTATTAAAATACATTTCACTTTCAAAACTGAGCTATCAACTGTTAAAGTGTGTATACACTTTTTGAGACATCCTGTATTTACAGCAAAAGTGGATAAACTGATGAGAAGAAACTTCTGAATTCTTGTTATAGAGATGAAAATTTTAGATCAAAAGGGAAGTTAAATAATAAATTGGGATCCAAATAGCAGGTTACTGGATCCCAGAAATCCTTCCTTCCATCCTATGGTTTCTCCACTGTCTAACAGAGAGGAAGATGGAATGAACTGGAACAAAATTAAAACTACCTGAATGTTCCTATTAAGGGAGTGCTGCCTTGGGCGACTCCCCCAAGACACTGCCCTAATACAGCAATGACAACCAGAATCTCATGATTCAAAATGTTGAATGACTGCCAACGTTCTTGGTTGAAACTACTGATTCTGATATTACCTTTCCTAACTAGTAAGAGAGAAAAAAAAGTGAAAAAGAAAGACAGGAAGTAGATTCCTGAACCAGTTTGAACACAGAGAATATGAAGTGAGGCTGGGTAAGGTGTCCCAAGAAGTATGAGACCAAACAAAGAGGAAATAAGTCAGAGGCCTGTTTTCAAAGAGGGGCGTGTTAGCATTTCAGTGCATCTTGCAGACTAGGAGCTGATCCTTTAACGGGACTGTTTCTCTCGTCCATGCCTTTCAGTATGCTTAAAAACAAGTACCACTTTGAGTCATGACAATATGTCAGACTCCATGCTGGATGAGCGCCTTACATATCTCCTTTATCAAATTAAATTTTCAAACATAATGATAGTAGAAAGAATGATTACTGAACCCCCATAAACCCATCATCCACACTGAGCAAGTATATGTATTTCTTACCTTATTTAATTCTCACCTCCACCCTCGGCTGTCTTAACGACTCCATTTGACAGATGGGAAATAGTCTCCGAGGTTAACCAGCTCAAGTCTCCAGATCCTAAGTGGCGGGATCAGGATGCACGAGTCCCGACTCCAACGCTCCCGTTTCCTAGTGAGCACGTCACTGTCATCCTTCTACCCCTTCTTCTGGCCTCTCGCAGCAGGGCCAGTGCCTGCCCCCGTGACAAAGCCCTGTGTTTCTCCGCTCCCAGGTCGCGCAGGGCATGGAGCTGGAGAGCCATGAGCAGCCCGTGGTTCTGAGAGAGGACAACCGCCGCCGCCGCCGGAGGATGAAGCCGCGCGGCTCAGCGGCCAGCCTGTCCTCCATGGAGCTCATCCCCATCGAGTTCGTGCTGCCCACCAGCCAGCGCACCAGCAAGACCCCGGAGACGGCGCTGCTGCACGTGGCCGGCCACGGGAACGTGGAGCAGATGAAGGCGCAGGTGTGGCTCCGCGCGCTGGAGACGAGCGCGGCGGCCGACTTCTACCAGCGGCTCAGCCCCGACCACTTCCTGCTGCTCTACCAGAAGAAGGGCCAGTGGTACGAGATCTACGACAAGTACCAGGTGGTGCAGACCCTCGACTGCCTGCGCTACTGGAAGGTGCTGCACCGGAGCCCCGGGCAGATCCACGTGGTGCAGCGCCGCGGCCCCTCGGAGGAGACGCTGGCCTTCCAGCGGCAGCTCACCGCGCTCATGGGTTATGACGTCACCGACGTCAGCAACGTGCACGACGACGAGCTCGAGTTCACGCGCCGCCGCCTGGTGACGCCACGCATGGCGGAGGTGGCGGGCCGCGACCCGCAGCTCTACGCCATGCACCCCTGGGTGACCTCCAAGCCCCTTCCCGAGTACCTGCTGAAGAAGATCGCCCACAACTGCGTCTTCATCGTCATCCACCGCAGCACCACCAGCCAGACCATCAAGGTCTCGGCCGACGACACCCCGGCCGCCATCCTGCACAGCTTCTTCACCAAGATGGCCAAGAAGAAGTCCCTGATGGACATCCCCGAGAGCCAGAGCGAGCAGGACTTCGTGCTGCGCGTCTGTGGCCGCGACGAGTACCTGGTAGGGGAGACGCCCCTCAAGAACTTCCAGTGGGTGCGGCATTGCCTCAAGAACGGGGAGGAGATTCACCTGGTGCTGGACACCCCTCCGGACCCCGCGCAGGACGAGGTGCGCAAAGAGGAGTGGCCGCTGGTGGATGACTGCACCGGCGTCACCGGCTACCACGAGCAGCTCACCATCCACGGGAAGGACCACGACAGCGTGTTCACCGTGTCCTTGTGGGACTGTGACCGGAAGTTCAGGGTCAAAATCAGAGGCATTGACATCCCGGTGCTGCCCCGGAACGCGGACCTCACGGTGTTCGTGGAGGCCAACATCCAGCACGGGCAGCAGGTGCTCTGCCAGAGGAGGACCAGCCCCAAGCCCTTCACGGAGGAGGTGCTCTGGAACGTGTGGCTCGAGTTCAGCA